CCTCACAGGTTTAATGCCTAAGGTTAGTTTGTTACTGTAATATAATATTAATATCCAAAAACAACAAAGATTTAATAAAGATTTGTAAATGAAAAGGGACATACCACGTGACATAACACGTTGTGTAGCCATTTCCTTACTGTAAAATTTCTTTTGTTTTATTTTTTTTATTAAACAACAAAGAACACACAAAATGATACAATGTACAAACAATAAGGCGTATTTCAAACAAACAAACAAACTTGCATAAAAGAGAAAAAGGATGGGTGCAAATAAAGATAAGAAATTCCTTACTGTAAAATTTGTATTGTTTTCAGTGTTTTTATTTATTTATATATAGGTTTTTTTTGTTTTGTTTTTTTTGTTTGTTTGTTTTTTCTCTTTAAGTTATCTGTTCTGCACCTATGCCTCTTTATTTTGTAATCGAATACGTATTTGTTATACTGCCTTGTGGTTTGTATAAAGCTTTCAATAAAAAAAAAATTGTATTGTTAATGTTGAAAGTGTTCGATAGAAAATAGTGTCACTAGCGCCCCCTTCAGTTCCGGAATGCAATAGTCCCATTTCCATATAAGGTATGGGACTGACGGAAAGGTCTGTCACCGCCCCGTTCTGCATGCTGCAGCGAACTGTACTTGCCCGAAGTTAAAAACTGTTGTTCTTTTGAGGCCTTCAAGGTGGCGCTCACGGCCCATGGGTTAAGAATTTTTGGATTAACAATTTTGAGAAATAAATAATCTGAGAAAAAAAAAAGCAGTAGCAGAATAAAGCTTGTTCTAAATATAAACATAAAAACATGACAAACTGGCCAGGGGATCGAATCAATTAAAAGGATTTTCTGAAATCGATATTGAATTGGAAATTATAAATATTGCAATACATTGATGAATCAATAATTTTACCCACTAAAGTCACAATTAATCCAACATACATGGTTTTGGTCTATGGGAAGAAACCGGAGTACCAGAACACGATCCAGCAACAGTCTCGCTGAGACAGACGACTATCAACTGCACAACTAATTAAAAGTATCTCAGTATGTCAGACTGGACATGGATCACATTTTACGCAAACAAATGTTAAAGATGTTCCCCAAAATTTCAAAGTATTCTAAAAAAAATCATTAAAAAGAGAGAATGGACCATTTTTAAAACAAGAGCATGCCTGTTACCTAACGCAACATTTACAGAGTCTTTTAGTCACTTTTAAACCTCATTATTAACAACCATATGAGAACTCCATTTCATTCAGGACAGCTTCATTAATCCCCTCAGGGAGCAATCCAACCCACTGGACCAGCTGTAATGAAGACAAATGAGTTGCTATGGTGATGGCCCGTGGGCCCGAGTGTTGGCTGATGTTAAGTGAGGGGAATGCTGGTTATGTAGTTTGTTTTGGCTGTGTGTGTGTAGTCCCGACTCTGTCTGCTCAAACTATTAACCGTGAGCTCATCCAGGAATGATTTGATGTGCTCTAATTTGGTGCAGTTATTTCTGTAATTGTCCATAGATGCAAAAAAAAAAAAGGCTCACATTTTCCATTATATGACTAGTTTTAAGTGCTCTCAACCAAACTCAGGGTCGTGACATTTAACTGTACTATCAAAACACATCAGTGAAAGAATAGAGGAGGATTAAAGGGGACAGATGAAAAAAATATATTAAAGAGGGCAACGGACAGAAAAGAAAAAAAAAAAAACAATAACAAATGGCAACCAGAAAGAAGAGAGAAATGCCTGAGCTGGTGCTGACATCTAAGAAAGCAGTGATGCTTTAATGCTTTTGTACAGGAAAGTTTCCAGTGGGATTTTTGGCTCGCAGAAAAATACACACCCCAAAAAACACACACAAACACACTTTACCGAGTGGTTAGCAGAGCAGGAGTGATTTGCAGTGTGTTTACTCACATTCTCTCGTGGTTTGCGCAAGACCCCATCTACGGCTCTCATTCTTTCACTCTAAAAGTCCTCAAAATGTATTTCTGTCCACTACACCAATGATTTATTTAACAAATAATTTCAATACAATCAGGCATTTTTGCCAAGAACAAGTTACATCTTGTAATGAATGTTTTTTGGAAGGTAAATATTTTGTAGAAGTCCTTATATATTCTAAAATAAAAAAAACAATGGTGTTTTATGGAGGTCATCAGCTGCATTGACTTTATAAACTGCCATTGCTGTAAAAACCTTAGTCATAACAACTGATTTTATTTATTTCACTTTTAACTGTAATTCAGATGGAAACATGATTCAACTTGGTAAGTCAGGATCAAAAGAATAGTTTGAACAATTTTGGCAAAGTTGAACATTTGCAATCTTTGATAACGTCTCCACAACTTATCAGAACATGAAGGAATTATCATGACCTCGTTACAATCTTAATACTCACCAAATAGGGTTTTCCTGCTACGTTCTGTGTCCCTGTGATGCTTTTCTGCACCCTCACTGTAACTAACTTCAGCAGCACATTTCTACGATGATACGTAAGATTGCAGATGCACCTGCCACAAGCCCAGCGTTACCACTACAGGTGCTACGTCTGCACCGGGTTGTTTTCATGACCTAAACCCAATCACAGTCATCATTCAGACATGTGGCCTGGGTGGCCAATTGTGCTTCCAATTCTTGACCACCGAGTCACACCAATGCACGCACCATGTCATAAATACACTGCCAACACTCCTCCCCCAGGACCATGATATGCCAACCCATTCTCACTCCCAAGTCGTCACATATTGATGCTTTTCCAAGGTTCCCTCTGTGTCCGATTTTGATGCGTCGGGTACCCCACTTGCATCAGTTGTTGACGAGATGGGTCGGAATCCGTTGTCATAATTTCAGAAAGTGTAGAAAATGCACAAAAACTAACCGTCCCAAAGTCTGAAATTACCTTTATTCACTCTAGACATCCTGTCCTTGACCCTAGTACCTAACATTAACCATCAACCCTGATCCCTAAAATTAACCAWTTTTAGAAAGTGTAGGAAATTCACGTCAACTATGTGTTCCAAAGCCTAAAATTACCTAATATTCACCCTAGACATCCTATCCCTGACCCCACTATCTAAAATTAACCATGAACCTTGATCTCTAACATCTCAAAGACCCCTATATTTTGCGTCCCAACGCATCAAACCTGGATGCCGAGGGAACACAGAAATGCCTGGTGCGTCAATAACTGACGTGACGGGTGTACCCGACGCGTCAAAATAAGACGCAGAGGGAACCTTGGAAAAGCGTCAATATGTGATGAGTCGGGAGTGAGAATGTGTTAGATATGCTGATGAAGAGTCTTAAACACTTGTGGCTGTTTTTATTTTCCAACGTGAATCAACGGTATTTATTTTTTTAAACAAGTTTCTCACCATCAAACACAGGCGGTGGGAAAACCTCACTCCAAGAGTTTTTGCTTGATAATAAATGTACAATATATGTAAGTTGGGGTATTCTGTCTCTCTTAGTCCACATATGCAAGTTTTTAATTTTTGGGATAAAAATGAAACAATTATTGCGTTCAATGACTTCATAAACAACCAAACATGTGCCTTCTCACCTCCTGTTCCATTGGTGGTGATGGAGGGACTGCCGAGGTTGTTCTTGTCCAGCTTGGAGCCTGTCGAATCTCCACCTCCGACACGGTTATGAGGACTGGCTAGGTCCTGCATTTCCATGGACCTAACGACGAGGAGGACGAGGGAGGCGAGAAGATGAAGTGCGACATTTGAACGGAGCAGCAGATTAACGGCAGCAGGCTGTTGAAACATTGTGTTTGGATCCCGGTGAGCACATTCAATGACGTACCGTAAAAGGCACATAGGAATCCCAGTCAGTCGTAAACATCACGCTGCTCAGCACCAGTTAGCGTGTATGAGATCGTGTTCAGAGGTGGCTGACATTGTCTGTGGGCCTGTTCACTCTTTTATGGAGTGGCTTTTTTTTTTTGTGTGTGCGTGGTTGTGTGTGTACACATTTCTGGGCTCCAGCACAAACCCACAGCCTGCCAGCATGCTTTAGTTTTACAATGTGCTCTGCATGCATGACTGGGATGAAGCAGCACACGAGGAGGCCATGATAAAGTGAGAGTGTGGATGTGTGTGAAAGTTAGACATGAACAGATTAAATGTTCTGCGTTCCATTTATTTGCATTTATTGTTTAGTCATCTTTGTATTATTTGCAACCCAGCGAAAGGTGTTTTCAGAAAATTTTGTCAAAAAAATTTAAAATGAACCTAAAACACTTTTTACGAGTCGTCAGCACAGTTGCCACAAATCCACAATTTGACAAGTTCTTTGAAGTTATTCTCTCTTTAAACCCCGACTCGGTTAGCCCACAGGCTAGGTCACACTTTTGCTTTTTTGTGGGACATAAAAAACCCCAAAATGAAAGAGATGGAAGGAGAAGTAAACAGATACGAGCTGTTGTGTGAAATGTAGCGCACATCTGCGTGAGCATCAGAAAGCAGAAAGTCTGGGCAGATCCACTTGACTGCAACCCGCAGCCAAAATGACAAAAAAATGTTTAATACTGGAAGAATCAAAACAAAGAGCTACAAAAAAAATGGACACGATTTTAAAAAGTACGGTAAACGAGAGGAAAGAGGAGAGTTCTCGTTTTGGAACGATGCTGCTGATTGCTATTCCATCGGTTTAAAATATATCCACTATACGTGACAAAAAAGTTAAGATGTTTCACAGATTCTTTCTGCGTGTGTCAGAAACACTTCATCCATCCTTTTATTTTGTCCTCCAACAACAGGAACTCCATTTTCTTCCTCCCCTCCTTGCACCCCACCCGTCTCCCCTCGTTTTGTTTTGCTCCTCTTGGGAGGCAATGGCAGGAGCGGGTGTTTCATAAACTCTTTTCTGGTTTTCACATTACGTCTGGGCCTGAGTAAAATAGGCAACATTCAAGTCAAATGCAACCCACGCTGAAGTGAGGAAATAGATTGTGGCCTCCAACTATAAATGTACAATTGGGTTAATTTCATTGTTGTCTTTTAAGTTAATTGTCAACGGGGCTTTAAAATGGTTTCATTGTGGAAAAAAAAACAGTTTAATTCTTACTGGATTGACAAGCTAATGGCTAGTCAGAGCAAGGCTGAGATCAAAGTAAACTTAGCACAAATAGTAAGGAAATTTGTGTTCAGTAGATAATTTCTTTGTTGTAACAATACTTCATTGAAATCCTGGTAATATCCCTTTAAAATGAGGCCACATTTGTAAGGAACATGCATTTGTGGGATGAGCAGTAGAGCTTAATATGGGGGTTGTGCACGCGAAAAATTAGCCAAATCTTCTCCTATTTTGCTGTTCTTATTGACACTTGTTTTGAGCTTCTGGTACCTCCAGGGGCTGCCAATCAGGTGCTCGTTATAAGATTCATTGCCAAGAAGCCTTATTGCAACAAAAAATAATCTACCAAACACTGTCCTTACTTTGTGTGTTAAGTTTATTAACCTCTATTTGTTTAAACTGAGGTCAGTTAAAAATCCATCCACAACAGGTAAGATATTCTTTACCCTTTACTGATCCACCAAACCTCAATTTGAAAAGTAAGTGCTTTTAAGCTGTCCCGTTTTCCAGTAAAATTACATTCTTGCAATTAAAAATCTTTTTTTGAAGAAACTGAAACCATTCAGTACTCAATTTAGTTTTCTTCCTTCAGTTTGTTTAAATGGAAGAAAATGAAAGATTCGTTATAAGATCAACACCACTTGTTTCTAATAAGCAGACTAACATTTTTCTGCCTAAGCGTGTACAGCCTGTTCAGTTTGTTTCTCAGTTTGTTTGAGTTAGCGTGTGCGTCTGTGTGTGTACATGTTTTTGCTATCGTGTGGGGATGATTTTTGATCATTTTCCTGGTACACAGCCTGTTAAGAACCCACTGTTCCTTATGGGGACAAAAGCCCAGTCCCCATTGGGGGAAATACCATTAGTGGGTCAGGGTTTCAATTTAGGACTAAAGTGTGAATTGATTTTAGGTCAGGTTTTGGGTCAGGTATGTACTGGGGTGGTTAGGTTTAGGGTCAGGTATATACTGGGATGGTTAGGTTTAGGGTCAGGTATGTACTGGGGTGGTTAGGTTTAGGGTAAAGGGTCAATGTTAGGCATTAGAAATGACTGGTAAATGAATGGAAGTCAATACAAAGTCCTCATGAGGACAGAAGAACAAACGTGTGTGTGTGTGTGCATATCTGTGTGTGTTTCAGACACTAAGGCTTTTGGTAAGGACTGATGATGACCTCATCACAGCTTCTAACAGCAGTGAAACCTCACCTCTCTGCACCATGACCAAAGAACTAGGACACACACACATATACACACAGACACACACAGCCGAATTAAAGAAAAAAAAATCTGTGTCATATTACAGTAGGCAGACAAACACATAGGAGCATACCTGGCGTCTGAAGGGTCTGGAACATGAGATTCACTGTGTGGTTTCTTCACCTGCAGAATATAAAGAGAGTGGAGTAAATGACTTCACACGTACATGGCCACACACACACATTACATTACACACACTCCATCAGAGGCTGTGTTCACTATGTTAGAAACGAGCCCCATAAACCAGCGTTAATGAGTCAGACACGTTACACCAGCATCACAAACTGGAACTATTTCCGCCCACGATGCTTACAGAAGACAAAATAAAAAAAAAAAACAAAGCTTATTTTAAAAATGCATCAGAGGTAAGACAAATTGGCAGAAAAATAATAAATCGTGGCGTCCACGACTGCAGCTTTCACGACTAGGTTGCTAATCAACGTGACGGATATAACTTTCCCTTGTTCACCTGTGACCCGACTCTATCCTGAGCTCGTCTATCTCTGAACCCGTTAAGAGTTGAAAGGTCCTGGTGGGGTCATGTTAGGTCAAAGTGGAGGCTGTTAAACATGTCACTGCAGAAACTGAACTCAGCCTTGACTTTGTGGGCTATAAGAGACACTTGGTCACGTCAATCATGTACTTCAAAAGTGAAGTAGGAAGAAAATCGAATAAAACAAACATCAGTCCGAGTGCATCTTTGCACTCCTCACACACACACACACACACACACACACACACACACAGGCTGGTTTTATTTGAGTCTTTGTGCGAGGGGCTGTGTAGTTACACAGTGGACCAGTGGTTCTCTATTAAAATTCCTCTCTCTTATTTGAAACAGGAACTAATTAGAACAGTAAATGCAGGGCGGAGCGAGGGCCAATGTGTACCAGCTGCCCTATAATCACTGTGTCAACACACTGTCAAGGTGTAGGGCACACACAGGGCGCCAAACACACACACACACACAGAGCCAAATTCACCCTGGCAGCATATATCCGAGGTATTTCCAAATTGTTGCAATCATTGGTGAGTTTAGAGAACGTGCTCGATTGAGCAGACGTTAAACTTGCAGTCGTGAAGACATTTGTGTGTGGAGGACACAATCATGGTGTTATGGTTCTGATTAGAGGATCCTGCTGAGAGGGAATAAGAAGCAGCACTTAGCTGTTTAAGGCACGGTTCAAAGGTCGGCTGCGCTCCTCGTATGGATCACTTTCCTCACAGGCGCGCACACACACAAGCCACTTTCATGTCCCGTTTCATGCTTTGCTGAAATTTAACAAGGCTGTCAGTCACAGCATCAACGGAACCGTCGTGAGAAACAGCAATCCACACGTAGCGCACACACACACACAAACACACAAGCTTAGCTGCATGTCTGTCTCAACAGAATCCGTGAAAATCTAAGCACACACGCTTGGATTACGTTTTTATGATTCTGCTTTGCCTTCGTGCTCGAGTTTCTCACTTGCCTCAGATTCTCTTATCTTTCCTATAAAATCCCACTTGTTTCATAATAAAAAAAATAAATGGACCTTTCAGGATTTTTGTATTCTTTAAAGCATGTTTGAATTATTTTACCAAACAATATTGTTTAGACCTCAAGTTAAAATACGCCTATTTGCAAAAGCATTCACACTTATTGTTTGTGTATTTTGTATAATGGCTTGAATATGTCTATATTTGAATGAATGAAATATGAATATGCATATAAATCCAAACTCACTTTTCTTTTTTTATGTTATTGAATTGCTTTATATAATTAATAAACTCTTATAATAATACAAATAAATAAATAAAATGAACATAACGCTGCTTTTTGTATTTCAAATTCAGTAATACTCTCTTTGTGTGAATTGGAATGAATTTTACTTGTAACGATGAAACAAAGCACCCCAGTTGGAGTGGACTTTTCGGTGGCCAGTGTCTGAATAAACCATCTGTGTCACCTGAGCCACTTAAATAGATGACCTTTGACCTGGTTGACCGGGTGACCAGTCTGGAAGACTACCTGGCCGGCACAAGGACTCCCTGAGGGATAAATATGTCTACCTTACTAATTAAATGAACTATACAAGTTATGTTTTACTGAAAGTTGCGACTCTAACATTAGAATAAACCTAACCCTATAAACGTGAGTCACATTAAAAAGGTGAAGGGCATTTCTCCCCCCTTATTTTATTAATTTGGATAACTCAGCCTAAAATCTGTCATTAAACATACGTATAGATGGGTTCACTTGTTTGTCGTAATTATTTTCTCTGTGAAAAGAGCACAAAGAGCTGTAATAAGCAATCCAGCAGGGAATATAATACCATGCGCTTGGATGACTCACAGTTAAGCTCAATAAAAAAAATAAAAATCAGTTGAAAATAATTTTAACACTTTTTTCATCTGTATTTACATCGTAAAATAATTCCTATAAACTTTTTATGGGTTTTGCATCTTAAATGTCTTAATTAAAAAATTCGTAATATGTTTTGGGAAAGCAAAAAGAAAACTACTTTTAAAAACAAACGTTAAAATGAAT